TCCCTAAAGCTCCTAGGCCTCTCCCACAGGAATGGGACTAATAATCTACTCAAGAACACAATTGTCTTGAAAGAAGTGGCTCACTGTGAGTCCAAACCAGACTTTGTCCTGAAGAGCTCTTCAAGGACAAATTGGTTTGGAACCAATTTTTTTTTTTTTACGTAAGGCCCTGAAGAGCCTGGGCCAAAGTGGATCCCTCAAAAATCTTATACCCCAAGGTCTTATAAGAGCACAATTTAGGGGTTAAAATTGTGGCTTGAGGCAGACTGTTAGAATTCAAATAGCTCTACCATTTTTGGCTTTGTGATCCTAGGCAAATTAAACTCTTCCCCTAAGACATTCCCTTTCCCTCCACCAAGAAGTCACTTCCTTGTCTAGGTAATTCGAGTCTAATTCTATTATTGAGAACTGATGGCAATAATCTTTACAGATGTGTTTATTGCTATTATCAATAATATAAGGATTTTCCCTTTCTGAGTATAAATGCATTCTTGTAGGGAGCTCCTGGACCTAAAAACACCATTGAAGTGCTAAAGGGATAAATCTCTACAGGAAGAATTTCAGGCATCTGCTAGCTGGGAAGAGAGAAGTCTCAAAGTACTGGCCAATTTTAATTCTTTAATCATAATTGCCACTGCTCTACATCTGTTTTTATCTTATTGCCCACACTTTGTGACAAGAGCGTTTTCTGGAGTGCTCAAGTGCAGACCAATGAATAGATGGCAGAGCTTTAAAATTGCTTGCATTCTTGCTATATATATTATTGGACAAAGCTTTGGACTACTCAGCCTTCAACCTATTTTGCCCCATCTGACAGTATGTTTCAAGCCCCATTTTCTACCAAAGTCAATGATTATGCTTCACATTCACCAATGAGCTCCCTCTCCTTCTGTTAAATTGAAACATGCAGACCTTTAATGGGGGAAAGGAATATTTTGTTCGTTAATGAAAAGACATGTTTTTTCTATAAGCCCTGTAAGAAAACCTATTCAAAGGTGCGTGCTGTAGCATTGTTGTGCATGTTTTTGTCCTGCATAAGAGGAGCAGGTTCTAACAGGCTAGCTTGTTATTAGAATTTATCTCTTTTCATGCTTAAGAAGTTTATTATTTTCAAAGTTAATCCTTTTCTCTAAAAGGGACATACTATCTCCTTATAAATTAATCAGGTTTTGCCTTCACATTCTGTCTTAAATTTCTGCAGAGCATCGTTATACTTCTAAATTATTGGTCATAGCTAAATGCAGCTGCCTTTAAGAGAGGATTTTTCTTTGGCTCATAGAGTAGGGACTGTTTGTATCCTCTTTTTAGAAACATTTTTTAAGTTCCAATGATGGTATGAAAGAACATTTTTTTACTTTAAATATTTTTTTATTTTTTAATTATAGTTGGCACATAATATTACATTAATTTCAGAGTCCAATCCAGTTAGATGATAAAGAATTAAAATGTGTGTATAAACAATAATGGTACAACAGCACAGGAAATTACCCTATTTATGAAATTCAAGACTTTCTAAGTACCTAGCTGTAAAGTCTTCCTTTTCCCCACAAAGTTTCATCAGAATTTGCAGTTGGACATAATTACTACTTGTTTCTTTCTTCCTTGGAATGCAATTGAGAAGCAAATTTTATCACACATTCCTAAAAGAATTCAGTCAATCTACCACCTCCAGAGCCCTAGCCAGATTAATGTTTTTTCCTTTGGTAATTCCATTATGGTGAATGTCTGTGGTGAGCATCCCTAGATGGTGAAGTATTTGGAAGGCAGGAACTAGAATATTTAGTCTATTATTTCTCTAGTCACAAGCAATGGAAAAAATGCAATATAGAAGGAAGAAAACAGAGAAAAATCAGAAAGAATAGAACTTAGTTTAGGTACAGTCAGAATTGACAACTGAAAGTCTGTCTTCAGAAACTATCTACTAACTTTTTTTTTCATTTATGTCACAAGTAGTACCTGCAAGAAAGAAGAGATATTGTCCTATCTCTCTCATATGATTTTTGGATGATCTGGAAATGTTCTGCATTGGTAAGATGGTAACAGGACTCAGAACATTTAAGTCATCACTGATAGCTCAGAAAGGATTATGGGTAGTTGCCTACAACCAAGCAGTATTCACAACACAGAGAAGGAAACCTTAAAATTATAGAACTAACAAGATTAGAAAGACCCTGAAAGTTGTCTAAGCCAATCTTCCATTTGATGTTTAAATATTCTACAACATCTTGGTAAGTGATTGTTCAACCCATTTTCCTGACACTGTCAGTGACCAGATTTTTACAACTCCATGACTGCTGACTCCTGGAGGGCCTTCTGCTCCCAAAGAAACAATAGTAAAAAAGCAGCTTTTCTAGACAAGACTGTGTATCTTCCAATGATGTATTTCAAAGATAGTAATTCCCTCACTTTGCTCCCCACCTAGATTCCTGTGTTCGTACCCTCAAATATTCAACATAAAGAAATGGTATATTTTTCTTCTATACTTATTTGGCTATAATATGTCACCAAAGTGTACAGCTATTAATTAGCATGCTGTTCCAATAATTCTTTAAATTATTGGTTCAAAATTTGTGTGAGTCCCCCCATAAGATAAATATGCTAAAAATGATTTACAAGTAGGTTAATATTAATAACAAATAAATAATATTAGATATAAGTAGGAAAAAATTTATATCAAAAGAATACAGCACTTTTAATATAACAGAGCAGCTATAAAACTCACAGAATATCCCAAATGCCAAGGTGTACCTATTAGATAATTAGGAGTTATGAATTTGTTGTTAGGTTTCTCATTTTCTAATTAGATAGCCAGACACCACTCCTCTTCAAATAAGCCTTAAGTACATAATCCCATTTTCTTGCTTTTTTTTCTAGTTTATAGTTGTGTACTAAACAAGAGCTAGTCAAGTTTCTTTTATCTGTTTTTTTTTCAATGAAGACCTAGTTTTACTTGAACATTTTTCACGAGCATCAAATAGTGGGTGATCTTTCAAGCTTGAACAGTAACAGTTGTATCGCTGAGGAAGGACTTCTTGTTTCAAATGATCTAGGTAATAATTTACAGCTATTTTGGGTAATACTGAAAATGACAGCTCCTTGAATTTTTTTTGTGTGCAGAAAAATTTGCTGGGCTGGCATTTTTCAGACCCCGGGAGGCTCATCCCAATTCTCAGCATGTGGGAAACAAGGGAATGCTCTGAAATCCTTACTTCAAGGGAACTGACCTGTCCACATTATCTTGTGATACATGTGAATGTTTGATGAGATTTTCCTAAAAGCCTGTGGCCTCCTAAGGCCTGGAATTTGCATCCAGTGCTAACCTATGAGCCCAGCGAAATTACTTACAGGCTGTGGGAATTCTAAGACCGAACCTAAAAAATTGACCTATAATGATAGTTTAGCTCCTTTAGCAGTACTTTGTAGCATCTATCTTTATGTAGTACACCATACATGGTTGTGAAAAGGTATAAAGGATGCCTAAAGGCAGTAAATAAGAATTAACAACCTTTTAAAATTCTAAACATTACCAAAAGATACACATGGGTACCACTGGCTGTTAGAAAGCATAGCTGAGGTATAAAAACAAAGTGTGTGTGTGTGTGTGTGCACATACACATACATATATGGATAAGAAACAATAAAGGAAGAAGGGGAAGAAAGACAACAACAGGCTATATATTGGTGGGGAATTATATGACTTTTTATTATTTTTAACTTCATATTAAGTCTTTGTTTTCTTTTTAAATTTCACTTTTTAATTACAGTTTACATTCAACATTACTTTGTATTAGTTTCAGGTATACAGCATAGTAGTTAGACAATCACGTACTTTACAGAGTGGTCCCTCTGATATGTCAAGTACCCACCTGGCACCATACCTATTTATTATAATATTGTTGACTATATTTCCTATGCTATACTTTACATCCCCAGGACTATTTTGTAACTACCAATTTTTTCTTCTTAGTCCCCTCACCTTTTTCGCCCAGTCCCCCACCCCAACCCACCCCTGCCTCTGGCCTCCTAGCACCAGCCCTTGGTTCATTTTGTTTCCTGCTCCTGGTTACTTTCTTCCCTTCTGTCAGAAATACTGTCTATCTTCAAAGACAAACTCAAAATCTAACCTGTCTCATAAACCCCTCTGAACTGCCAACCTATGGCAATTTTTGCAACTTTTGAATTCCAAGATCATTTTGTTTCTTAGGGACTTACTTATTGTCTAGTTACCTGTAATATTTTTCTATGGAAATCTTTTTTTCTCCTTCTATAATATCCTTCTCTTAAAGACAAATTGTATTTTATCATGCTTTGTGTACCAAAATTCCCTAACATAGTGCCCATTCAGTAAATAATTTTTTACTGGTTGATATAATTTATTACCTTTATGCTGAGTTACATTTTTTTTCTGAAGAAAAAAAAAGAACATCTCATTAATCACAAATTTGGGAACCCTATTCTGAACTACCTTACAAAACTTTCATTTGTACAGTCATGATATCATGTGTCAGTAAGTGCAACTTGGTTCTGGGATTCATGGTAATCTCTAGTTACTAGGAAGTTTTCAAGATGATCCAAAGTATTTTATAGAAATTTAGTGAGATAATACAAAAGTATTGAAATTCTCATAAAAGTCTCAGAGCCCAGAGAATTATACTCTAGTATTCCTCCTTGTGAGAAATACTATTTTAATAAACCCTCAACGGCTCTGAACTGTGGATTAAAGGAAAATACCCAGTTGTTATTACAAAATGTATTCAGTCTTAAAAATATGCATATTTTGCCACTTAAGTTTACTTCTAGAAGACACATTTTAATAAATAATTAAAGATGTACTAAAAAATAGCTCCAAAGATATTATAACATTAAAATATAATACACAAAAAATCCAAAAATAGGTGAATGAATGTCATATGCCTAAAGCCAACTAATGAGATAAGATTGTGGAGGGAATATTCTTCCTTAGCATCATTTCTGCTCATAGCTCTTATTTTTGTTTTTAGGTCCATGGGAAATGTATGTGTAAACACAACACAGCAGGCACCCACTGTCAACACTGTGCATCATTATACAATGACCGCCCCTGGCAGGCAGCTGATGGCAAAACAGGATCTCCTAATGAGTGCAGAAGTAAGTACCAAGCCCACAAGACTCAAAGCCTTCTTAATAAAGTAAACTTATCTGTGGATTCCTTGTTGTCTCTGGAAACATAATATAAAGCTGTGGGTGACAGACACAGTAACCTACACAAACAGCTCATATCACTGCCCACTGAAACCTCAACCATTGGAAACAGTTGCTGCTTGCCAAGTTGCCAATGTGACTCTTTTGCCAAGAATGAGTTGCCCATTTGCCTGCCCACTTTGCAGCCTTCTTGATGATTTCACATCATAAAAACATGGCTAGACACAAAAGCAACTAGAATTATGGTATATAATTACTCTTGTAGCTGAATTAATGAATTATAATCATAAAAATAACTATTTTGAACATATTTCTCAAACAACCCTGTAATGTAGGTACTGTTAATCCCATTTTAGAGAACAGGAAACTGAGGCTTAGTAAGATTAAATAAGTTACGAAAATTACTAAATAATAAAATTAGGACTTGGTTCCAAGTCTTCAAACTCCAAACGAAGTACTTTTTTTCCCATAACACCATAATATTACTTGAAAAGACAAATCAAATTTGAAATTGTGCTAGTTAGTCAAGAAGGAGACTGCATTACCAGGGTTAACTCTAGGTTTAAAGTTTGAAATTAGATAGGAGGATAAAAAATATGGCAATATTAACCATTTGTTTTATAATTCAAAATGTTTAGAGAGATTTACATGCCCATGACAATGTTTATACACACAAACTTCAATTTTATTCAGCTTTACAGGCAAACACTTCAGGTAAATTTGTGAAAAGTTTCACACACAAACTTCTATTTTATTTAGCTTTACAGGCAAACACTGTAGGTAAATTTATGAAAAGTTTCTTCTCATCCATAATTTGTAATCATAACTAATTTATTTTAGTTTCTAGGAAATGTAAAGGATTTCCTCTAAGCATAAATCTTAAATTATCTTATACTATGCTTTTTTGAGATTATGAATCTGGTCAAAATATCATAACACATCAAGGAAACAATGGAAAACAATAGCACAAACGTTCTCAAACACAGTTGACCTCCACCAAAAAAAAAAAAAAAAAAAGCCTGGAATCTTATTTTAAATCACTCATCAAGAGAATCTAAAGAATTTCTCCCAAATTCCTAGAATACCACTGTGACCCTTTCCAGAGAAACCAGCTGCATGTCTAAATACATACAGAACACAGAGACTTGTCACTTGGTTCTATTGACTATTAATCTTAGAAATGCCTTTGAGAAATGGGTTACATAAGAAACACTCCTGGCATCTTCTATAAGAAAATTGAGGCTTCTATAAGAGAATACTTTGAACTCAACAGTGCAACAATAGCTAATGAACAGTAAAATAAATCAATCTACCTGCCAAGTTACTAACTATTGTCAACCAGAAGCTTCCCTCTAGACTCATTAGTGAGCCTAAATTCAGGCCTGTATCTGCAATATGAATTATCATTTTCAAGTAATGCTTGACAATCTAGGGTTTTCTAAGTAAGGCCATGGGACCCACAGTGATAACAGTGGTCCTTGGGAAGTAGCAGGAATGAAAATGGTGATATATTACCAGTAAAGAGAGAAAACAATTGGTGGCCACTCAAATAGTCTTTCCAAAATAAATGTGAACTCCAGTTGCTAACTGTAACTCGAGGTAACTAATATCTCTGTATAAGTACAGAAATCTACATTTGGTTGATCAAACTTATTTTTTAATTAAAAATATAATATGTTAGTACCCATATATCTAAAAAATCAATAGAGAAACACTAAACATATACACACGAAAAATAACTTTAAAGAAAGAAAGTAGTAACCTACTGAAGGTGAGAGGAAACAGGCTAAATGGGGATGGGAGACTAGAGTTTTCAATGTACACCTTTTTATATTGTTTTGATGCTTGTGCGCTGTGGAAACATGCACTATTCAAAACACCAAAACTAAACTTTAAAATTTTTAAATGAATATTAGAAAACTTACCACTTTATATTTTTAATTATTTGTTTCTCATCTGTGCTTCCTTTTTCAGCCTGCAAGTGCAATGGGCATGCTGATACCTGTCACTTTGACATCGGTGTGTGGGAGGCATCTGGGAATCGCAGCGGTGGTGTCTGCAATGACTGTCAGCACAACACGGAAGGTCAGCACTGCCAGCGATGTAAGCCAGGCTTCTACCGGGACCTCCGGAGACCCTTCTCTGCTCCAGATGCTTGCAAATGTAAGTGAACTCATGGTTACTTAAAAAAGGGGGGGGGGGGCGATGATTTGTACAACAGAGATGTTTTCATCCTTCATTTGCTGACCCAAGGAAGAGAGGTCATGAACTTCCACAGAATACACTCACACGCATCAGTTTATTTCTTGATTGATAAGGGGCAAGGATTTTCAATTTGTTAGATAAAAACAGTGTAATATTCGTAAAAGAAATTCTCCTTTTTCACTCTCCATGAATTAAAATTACTTCCTACAGCGCCACAGTTTGGAAAACAATATGACTAGTATAAAAGAAAGATTGATGAAGAGGGAGATATACTTAAAATTATCTAAGACAAAATATATGAGTAGAGTGTAGACAATAAATGGACTGAAATTAATGAAATAAAGAGTGGTTACCTGCATGTGGGTCATTCTAGCTTTCATAGCCAGAGTGAACTTGAATACCTGTTTTGGTTTCAATATGAATGTGCTTTGGTTGACACTGCTCTAATGTACCTCCATATCATAAACAAATTTAGAACATAATAAATCTCTACCCTCCCTCAAAATACTAAATTCAGAGTAGATGCTGCTTTTTTCTGTTGGTATAATTCCAAAAAATTTATTTGGAAAAAAAAGTAGAATTTTAAAATATGAACAGAAGGCCTATCTCTGTCCAATTATCTTCTGAAATATGACTGTAAAGAGTATATGCAAAAATTAAGTCAATGTCCAATGTGGGTGAATAGCTTGTCAAACTACATGAGTATTTACATGTCTATTAACTCAGAAATTATTAGAGGGCAAAACCACTCAAGACTGTTAATAGAGATTGATGAACATGCCCTTCCTTCCCCTACCAAGGACTCCATGTTCTAGCTCAAAACAGTGACAGGAAGGGAGCAATACAATGGAAAACAATCATTTCAAATCTTGGGTTTTTTTTTTCATTTAAAGGAACAAATCTATTGTTCTTGAAAAATACATATTTTTAATATTAGGCAGGAGATATCTACATGAAAATTTGAGTGGGCTTATTTGTTACAAACTTTCTTAACTTATGGAAGATATATTGTGGCACAGCTCACTTTCAACAGTAAGCCCCAAATTTGGATGTCATATTTCTCAAGGTTCTATTTGACTCCTGCTCCTGTGCATACTCAGACTTGAAGCTAAAAACTAATAATAATAATAATTCATATTGCCAATCTCTTCTAGTTAACAAATCTTTGGATGTGCCGAGTAGGGAATTATGAAAAAAAACTGATACCGATTTAATCCTTCTAGCATAACTTGTATGAGGTGATGTTTCTCCTTTTCTTCCCCAGGCAGCCCCCTGATTGACTGGTAAACTGCCCAAGGAAGGCCTATCTTTGTTCATTTTATGACTGATCCAGTGTATGTTTGGGGCAGAGATGCCTGTGTCTGTTCACTTCCCTAGCATGGTTTTTCTTATTAACACCTTTCTGGTTCTTCTTTCCCCCTTTCTGAGCCAGGGGTAGATCCCAACACTTATTAGCACATTCAACTCTTCTCTCTACCTAAATACTCTCCATAATATATTATTTAATTGACAGTGTTTGGGCAACATTTTCACTATTATTTAGTAATATTTTCATATCATTAACTATCTCCTTGGCAGATCTACCCCTATGTCACCTCTTGAGTTATTAATACTGGTAATAAAATTTTGACAAGTTAATGTACTTAATATTTACTAAGTACCTATCATGTATCAGATTTCATGCTAGGTGCTGATACAGATGTTGCTATAGCCACAACTTTTCCCCTCATTAGTTCCCACTTTTATGAGGAAGAGAGTATCAAGAAAACAAGTTGATATTTTAAAAAATTTAAACTATTTCAGTGTGTGGTTCCATCAACAATATGTGCAATGTTATTCAAAATAACAATTTTATTACATTTATTTTACTGTGCTCACCAAAGCAGAAAAGTAACCTGCTACACAGTGTGTGGTCCAGAGACCAACCCCACTGGCATCATCAGATTAGACAACTCAGAACTTCTGACCCAGACCTACTGAATCAAATGTGCGCTTTAACAAAATTCCCAGGTGATTGTATCATATGGAAGTTTGAGAATGCTGCAGAATGCTTTTCAATAACAATTAACTGCATTTTAGCGCTTGCTGTAAAGGTTGATTTTTAAAAATTAACCAGAACATCCTAACATTCCCTGAGCATTGAATTAACGAAGGTTTGCATCTACCTGTGCATACAGATTTAGAATTTTTTAAAATTGAATTACATCAAGGTTAACCGAGGGAAAAGAAATGGAAATCTGGATAAATTTGTTTCTGTATTATAGCACTTTTCAAAGTTTTATCCATGGAACAATAACTTCATGATATGTTAATAGGAATTAGTATAAGGGGAAATTTTTCTACGGCCTGAAAATTCAGGAAATGGTAATCAAAGGTTTGTTTACTTCAGGATTTCTCAGAGCCTTTTATATGCTAATGTTCATACAAACTTCCCACAGAGCTCTGAGGTGCGCCTCTCAAATTTAACTAGAGAATGCTTTTCTTATAGAACATTGTGTGGGACGAGTGTTCTACAGAACACACTGGGAAACGCTGTATTGTACTGTGGTCATATCTATATGAAGACTTCACGTGGGAAGCCATGTCCTGGAAGATTCCTTCTATTGTTACTTTTTTCCAAGTGGTATATCCCACAGCTGTATATAAAAGAAATAATAAATCTTATATTTCTATCAGTGAAATAACTACAAACATAATATTAACTAAGCCTGGACAATCTACAGCCACATATCAACAATGATATATGAAAACATGTCTCTCCATTATTTCCTAGTTTATGTCTTCTCAGCACCCCACACAAAGTTTACTAGAAGCATATAAATTACGTGCTCAGTTTAGATCAGAAGACATTTATTCAGTGTCTTCTCTGTGACAGATACTGTGGTAAGCACTAGTCTGTAAAGATAAAAGGTCTTCCCTAAAAGAGCTTACACTCTAGGTGAGGAGAAATTTACAATAACAGGCCATTTCAATACACTGGTGATGGTGATGATATAATAGTAATAGCTGACGTTTACTGAGTTCCTACTATTTTCCATTCACTGTTCGAAGGGCTATATATGCATTGATTCATTTAACTTACACAAAAGCACTTTGATGTAGGTTCTACTGTTATCCTCACTATAGGCGGAAAGTGTGATAAAGGGATATGTTGAGTACCTGAGGGAAAGTGTGCAAGGGAATGAAAGCAGTTAAGGGGAGACTTCCTTGATAAGACGCCTCAGACACTTTGGTGGCTGTTTTGTTTTCTCGTCTAAAGGACCAAAACAAAATTTGACCTACTTTCTTCTTGTTTTATTTTAAAGATTTTATTTATTTATTTATTTATTTATTTATTTATTTATTTATTTATTTATTTTTTAAGAGAGGGGGAGTGAGGGAGAAAGAGCGGGAGAGAAACGTTGATGTTCGAGAGATACATTGATAAGTTGCATCTTGCCTGTCCCCAGCTGGGGACCCAGGCATGTGCCCTGACTGGGAAGCAAACTGGCAACTTTCCAGTTCACAGGTCCACACTCCATCCACTGAGCCACACCAGCTAGGGCTGCCCTATTTTCTAATCGATGATTGCCTTTGTTGCCTTTAAGGAGTTGATCTAGAAAATGGAATGAATTGATGTTATTCACTCTACTACACATTTAATAGAATATTACCTAGGCACATTCATTCATTCAACAAATATTAGTGACACTAATCTTGACACTGTTCACAGTTAGGCAGCTAGCTCACTGCCAAATAAACCAAGGATCTATTGGCCTCGTTCATGTTCCAGGCTATATTTTCCCTCCCACTGTCCTGATAAGCACTATGCTATGCTTGTGTGTACACTTAATTGATGGTCATAAATTTATTAAACCTAAATTTAAGAAAAGGCCACAAACCAAATCTACTAGCCCATAGATTTATTCCTGTAAGCAATTAAACCATCTCTATTCTCACTTCCTCTTTATTTCAACTGTAAACGGAGTCAACTGTGAGACCCAAATAATCAACTACACATTTCCATTGCTAAGAAATCACTTCTGAGGATTCCAAAGATGTTGTTTGTTTATTTTAAGACTACTGGAGATCATTGAAACTAAATTTATTCCTACAACTCAGAGGAAGAATTTTGAAAGGACAGTGCATTTAAGGTCTGTGAACACAAGGGGCAACGTGAAACCTCCTCAGCTGAATCTAAGGCCAAGAGCAGAAATCAAGACTAAAACTGGCTGGTCACTAAGGTGCAGAAATAAAATGGACAGTATAGTTATCACGATGTATCACTAAGTACATAGTTCTTAGCTATTAAGTATCCCTAAGGTACTTTGAGGAATACTGTGTCTGTTCTAAAAGAGAAGTCTGTCTTTTTTAGAGTAACTTCTTTGGAATCTCTAAAGTCACTTATGTGCCTTTGGGATCTTATAACCTAAGTAGGTTTTCCTATAGCAGGCACATTATAAATGTGAGAATAAACCTAATAGACAGTGGCATGTTGACTCTCTAGGGAGGGGGGAAAAGAGCCCTGATTTGTAGCATTGGCCAATTTTTGTGGTTTAAATAATCTCACCATGCCAGTTCCAAGCTACCCAATCATTGTTTTTTTTATCAAGAATTCAGTGACTTACAGGAACTAGTATAAAGGACACATGGACAACAATTAAAGGGAGTGGAATGGGAGGGAGGTGGGGAGCACGGGGGGCAAGGGCTGGGATGGGAGTAAAAGACAGAAAACTGTACTTGAAAAATAGTTAAATTTAAAAAATTTTAAAGAATTCAGTGACTCAAATAGACTCTAAACCAAAAGTGGAATGGTTTCTCTCTTTTGAACAAAGTCTTGTCCTCACAACCCCTTCTTTGACTTCTCTCTTGTTAAAGCTTCAAGTCGATCAGACTCACTCGAGAGCTCTTATTGAAAATATGAAATCTCAGAGCCCTGACCCTGATCTTCCAAATCAGAATCTCCAACAGGGATGGGG